AAAATTTGCTTGATAATTCAACTACGCTTGTTGGAGAACAATAAAAACACTACACTCAACAAGCCACCAATAAAACTCAACTGCCTAACCTATAACCAAAGTCTCCTTTTAATTTGTTTTTTAAAAAAAGCGCTTGACAAACTTGCCCCGCATGCCGAAGTTGCCCCGGTCTCCCCTAATAGAAGTGTTGGAAGTACGAAATAATCTATTACATTATTTCGTACTTCCAACACTTCTATTATATTATTTCGTACTTCCAACACTTCCAACTCAAGCTTTCTCATTCTGGAAGTACGAAATAATCTATCGTACTTCCAGAATGAGATAAAGCTTGAGAGACGAAATTTGACATGATGGCTTGTGTATAAGGTCAGTGATGCTATTAAATTTTTGAGGTTAAAGGTCAAGGAAATCGGGAAATAGAGGAGAGGGTTAGATGTCATTTATCGAATGCGGTCTGACTTAATGGAAATTTTATTCATTACTAGCAGATGAGCCTGGCGTTGCCCGGGCAAAAAATAACTACACCAAAAATTAAGTACGAAATAAATTAGATTATTTCGTATTTAATTTTTTGGTGTAGTTATTTTTTGCCCGGGCAACGCCAGGCTCATCTGCTAGTAATGAATAAAATTTCCATTAAGTCAGACCGCATTCGATAAATGACATCTAACCCTCTCCTCTATTTCCCGATTTCCTTGACCTTTAACCTCAAAAATTTAATAGCATCACTGACCTTATACACAAGCCATCATGTCAAATTTCGTCTCTTAAGCTTTATTTAGGGTTTCTCATTTCCCGGGAAATTTGCCTCCAGCGGGATTAAGGGAAAAATAATTTCTTTTCCCGGGATTCCGGAAAATTTCGGGATGAGATAGTAAAATAGAATTTTATATGAATAAAAAAGATCATACAGGAATATCATAAATTTGAATAATTTAATTTATTTTCTAGTAAGTAACTAAAGGTGTAGGGCCAATCTCGCCCATACGGACACGTTAGGCTCAATTAATTTATGTTCTCCTACATTATAAGATGAAAGTAAAATAAAGCGTTTCATTGGGAGTTTTAATGATTACGAAAAAAAATACCATTTTATTTCTAAAGATAAAATAAAAAATAAACTAAAGTGCGATGACTGATTTTTACTTTCAGCGAGTGCTCCGCTGTTCAATGGTGCACAAACACAATACATAGATATTACATGAACTAACAAGTAGAAACTTGTAAAACATAGGTAATAATATGCAGCATAAAACCTCAAAATTTCTCTCTTAGTCTTCGAGATGCAACTTTTCGTATAATAAATAATAAAAAGAAAACCTGACGTGATAAATTATTATTGAAATGCGAGATTTCCCGGGAAAATAAAATTTCCCGGGATTTTTCTCGTAGGGAATAAACAGCGGGAATCCCGGGAAAACGGGATTCCGGGATTCTGGGAAAGAAACCCTAGCTTTATCTCATTCTGAGATATAAAGCTTTTTTTCTTCTCGTTTTTTTTTTTTTGTAAACATTTGAGGATTTTATAGTTTTTAAGAAATAGGCTTATTTATGTATTTTTTAAAAATTTTTTGTAGCCTAAAGACGGATGGAAGAAACAGTTTTTATCAATCCAAAATGCATTGCTAAATAAAGGTAAAAAAGAGTTGATTGTCTTAGTCTCTGATCAATACAGATTACGGAAAAGAGCATATTAAATCACTAATCCACAATTATAAGAAAAATTTATATTTTTAACGTAATTACAGTAGAGCCTCGATTATCCGTCTCAATTGGGGACTGGGGTTGGTCGGATAATTGAAAAGTCGGATAACCGAAAAGTATGAAATCCATTATTAGTATAGTATATTATTATAATCCCATGTAATTAGTATATTAGTATATCGCTATTAACCTACTTCGCGTTGAATTTTCATCGATGTTAAGCTTAACAGAAATTTTTTAAAATAATAATCGTCGCTATTGTATCGTTAAAAATTAGAAAATTAAGCCTCGTTTAAATGTTGACTCCCTTTCATGGTCGATCCAGTGTTGCCAGCTAAAACACGTAAAAATAATATTAAAGTAGCCAAGACATAGCCAAATATTCTAACGCCACATCACTA